CTGCTTTCAGGAAATCCCTTCTTTCCTCAGAAAACAGATTTGCAGAGTGAACTTTTTAGCTGTGTAATATAAGGGAACTAAATTTTAACCCCCTCCATGCATAAATAGATTAATTGTGAGTGACGGCTGGAAAATTAATTTAATATTTTTGAAAAACACTGGATGATGTCAAAAATCTTCTGTTGATTCGCTTCAGAAGAGGCATGTCCTCTTCCAAGGATCTCACCCCCAACCAAGGGATCAAATTGGTAAGCAGTGTGCAGGGTGGATCATTTTATTCTTTGGCTCATCTATTCCGACTGCCAGGAAGATTCCCAGTCAGTGGCAGCCCCAGTAAGTGCACACAGAGGTGCAACCACCCAACTTAACTACTTAGGAGCTGGGTCTTCCCTTGCTTTGGTGGGGAATGTAGGCAACTGGTTGGGGCAGATCTCTGGAGCCTCACATGCTGATCCTGTAAATGCATCCCTTTAGATTTGTTCCAGGAAACTTGCTGGTCAGACATCTGCAGCAGGGCTCCAGCAGGACCCTTCTGCTTTGGTACCTCACTGTCTGTGGGAAAGAGGCAGCCGGGTGCAAGGTACCGGGAGAATGCGGTGTCCCTGCTGCCCCACCCACGGCCTTGTGCTGGGCTCCCAGCCCAAACCACGGCCAGCTCAGGAGCTGGAGCAGTCTGTGGATGGATGTGAGTAGACCTAGGCTCAAAGCTTCCAAGAGCTGGAACACTGGCACCTCTGACACAATAAGGGCTAGCACGCTGCTCGTGCACAGGGATGCTATTTTGGCAACATGTTGGGAGTGTCAGTTCCTGAAAAAGGTGGAAAACAGTAAAGAGACAGGTCCTCAGTACCTCTCTTTGATGTCTCCGATAACATGAAAGGCAGCCTGTGCCACTGTTCTGGTACGGTGACATTAAAAAAATCAAGAAAGAAATGGAAATCGTTTGCCATAGAGGAGATCCCTGCAATTTGGCTGTGCTCCTGATCCACAAAGCTACTTTTCTGATTTCTCCCATTAGCCCAGCTGCAATATGTGCAGAGGCAGATTATGTATCAGGCCAAAATATTAATGTTCACAGCGTTAATGCTTTGGAGCCTTTAAAATGAAGAGCACTAACAGAAAAATCTTTTCAATCCTTTCATATAAAATCCCATCATTCTGAACTGACAAAAATAAATGCAGTGAACTTTCAGTGATATTGTGCCATATAAAAGGTTATTAAAAATGTATTTGAAGGACTAGCTTTGTCAATACTAATGCACTGAAGAAAGGGAGGGCTTCCCACTACAGGCACTGATGTACAGACTTAGTGAGGGAGTGATTACTGCAATAAGAGATTCTGGTAACTTTAAGTTAGACAGCGTTTTTAGACTTCATATGCAAAGAATCGCCTTCAGTTATAAAAAGATGAGTTACTTAGTAATACTGAGGTTAAATCAGAATATGTGTTTAAAGAAATTCTGCCAAGCAGATATTGGTTTGGCTATGAAAATGTATTTGAAAGATGGGGTGGGAGAGATAAAACATAGCAGTGTAGAAGAATAAAAGAGAACTGGTAGGAATGTAAATGATTTATTAGTTTATTTCTTGATTCTTATTTCCACAGTAATCAGGAGAGTTTTTAGAGATGATCTGTACATTCCCTAAAGTGGTATGAACACAGCAACAAAGTGCCAGTGCATCAAAGTTTTAAAGCACAATTGCCTCCACTTTGAGAACTGAGTCCACTCTCTTATCTTGAATTCAGACACCTCTGACCTTGCCACTCGTTTTGGACTAAATAACTATTTAATCAAGGTTCAGTATTACTACAATGGGGTTTTGGTGCCTGTCTTCCAAGACCAAATGAAAACCAGTCAATCTTATTTCATTGACACAAATGAGCCTAGAACAAAACAATAGCAGAAAGAAAAAGCCAGTATTTCAAACATTTACATTCAGTCATTTAAAATTATTATAAGAGGAATAAGAATTTATTTTAAATTATAGTTGTGGGCTTTTTTTGTTAGTGCTCCCTCTGAAGAATACAGACCTCCCATTGGTATATGCTGCCACTTCCAGTTTTGCTCTCCTTGAGTATCACAAATTGAGCCTTTCTTTTGGTGTTTGAGGGAAGATGAACATATTCGACTCCAGAAGTCAGTCCCTGATGAAGTGAGAAGGTAAGTGCCAACTGCCTCAGCTGTGCTGACAGCTCTCTCACAGGTTTTGTACAGTCCTGTCTTTCTGAGCCTCAGCTCCTAAGGCAGCTGTGCTCTGTATTGCTGTCTTTTCAGGGTACAGTAGTCTCCTTTTCCCAGGTTAATTGAATAAATGGAATGCCCATTAGTTCTTGGGGCCTGTGTATCTTAAGGATGCAAGGGTTTTAAATAATAAACCCAGTACAATTGTCCTTGTTCAAAGAGAGTCCCTTTGAACTATAGCTGGAATGTCTGGCAGCTCCTGCCCTAGTGGTGAAAGGTCCATCCCCATCAGGACTTCAAAAACCTTTCTGAAATATTTTCTGGCTGTTGTGCCTTAGCAGTGATGTGAGGCAGCAGAAGAACACAGCAAGTGTTTAAGAGAACAGTATGGTAACATGTAACAAGTTTTCATAAATGATATTTTTGGTTTGGGGCTTTTTGAGTGTTTGGGGCTTTTTTAAAATAATGTTTAAATATGTTCTGGACTTCTGGGCATTGATGCACTTGCATGATAGTCTCCAGCAGGGATTTTATTGATTTTTCCAAGTTCATAGATAGGCATGTAGTAATTCAGGCTGAGCATGTAGAATGGAGGAAAAAATGCATGGTCTTTTGCAAGGCAATGGCATTTTTCTGTTTTCCAAGGTGTGACAACTGATCATGACAATATTATCTTAATAGCAAATAATCTGTAGATCTGTAGTTTGCTACAATGTAGTGCTCTTAAACTTCCACTGTCTTACACATGTGCAGATAGGACACACACACCATCTAGAAAAGCTTTAAAGCTGCCACTGGCAGTCATCACAGTTTTGAAGACTGGAAAGTCTGAACCTGGCTTAGTATCAAGCATGTCTCAGAGGAGACATGTCCTGAAAATAACACAAAAAATAATGTATGATTCATGCATACATATGTAATTTTAACATTAATATCTTTTTCATGATGACTAGAAATACAACTTACACTTTGTTGTTATTTCCAGAGTAGAGAATTGAGATGAAGTGCTTAGTAGATTCTAACACTTAATCTTCACTGAATATTTTCACAAAACTTCAAATATACATACATGTAATTGAGTATCACTCAATGGAGAAAATGGACCTGCCCCCTGTTGTTCCGTTGTATCTATTATCCAGCTGCTGCATGGAGCTTTGTTTTATGAGTCAGCAATAATTTTTCAGTGTTTATTTCAAATTTTGCTGATGTCATTTATTTAAAAACTATCAAGGGGTTAATGTGGGAAGATAATTTGAAGGAAAAGATCTTTGGGCAGAAATCACATATGCCCAGGATACTGCAGACCCTGATGCTGCTGTGGACTTTGAGGTTTATTTCCATAGTGCAACATTCTTTGATTCAAGATTTTATTAAGCCAAGCGAGGTTTACGAGCTCCCCCACTGTATCCCTTTCCCATCCGCTGATCCAAGTCTGAATTCTATATAAAGAGATGTCAGTACAGAATGAAGACAGGGCCCTGAATATAGCTTCTGAAAAGTATATGGCTGCAATAATTTTATCTGCCATGACGTTTTAAAAAAATGTTCAGGCCATTCATAAGTGATGATAGACCTCTCGCTAATGTGTGCTTTTAGCAGTGATGACACCCAGCACCAGCACTGGACACCAGCAGTACACTTAGACGGGTCCAAAAGCATGGCTGCTTCCACCTTTTAGCAATCAGCTGATGCTTCTGAATTCCATAACCTCTGTTAAAGTTGATCTGTTAAAGAAATGCTCTCTAGGGTCCAGGCTCAGCGCTGCAAGGCGTCATTCAACAAGTGATGCTCAGAGGCCCCGGGTAGCAGCTCTGCCCCGCAGCAGCTTTGCTCAAACTTCCTAAGAACACTCAACCTCTGCAGAAAAAAAAACACCCTCTGTTACGACAAGGCTTTTTACTCCTACAGATCAGGCTGTATGCCAGACACCCGCCCACCCACCCCATATTTCTCCTCCGGTGCCTTTGCTGGCTCGGCCAGACGTGCTCATTCCATCGCTTTATTTCCTCTATTGCAGCGGGCCCAGGGACACTCCCGCGGCCCGGGCCCTCCCCGGCAACCGCGGCGGCCGCCGGGCAGCGCCGGGAACGGCACCCCGGTGCTGGCGGGCGAGAAGCGGGGCAGGGCGGCGGGCGGCTGCCGCGGGCAGAGCGGATGAACGGGGCGGCGGGCGGCTGCCGCGGGCAGAGCGGATGAACGGGGCGGCGGGCGGCTGCTGCGGGCAGAGCAGATGAACGGGGCCACGGGCGGGCTCCCGGCGCGTTCCGGGAGGTTCCCGGCGGGCCCGGAGCGGCTCCCGGCGGCCCGCGGGCTCCCCCCGGCGGCGGCGGCCGGGCCGCTGTGCAGGGCGGGCGCCGCAGGGCCAGCGGAGGGCGGGGCCGGCAGCGCGGGGCCCGAGGCGCCCGGCAGGGGGCGGCGGGGAGGGCCGGGACCGGACTTAGATACAGCCGGGACAATAATGGAGCGGCGGCTCCATAGCTCAGTGGTTAGAGCACTGGTCTTGTAAACCAGGGGTCGCGAGTTCGATCCTCGCTGGGGCCTGAGGGTTTTGGTTTTTTTTTTTTTTTCTTTCAGAGTGGCACAGGTTTTTATTGCACTCGCGACCAACAAGCCCGATTTGGGGTATTATGGTGGTGGCGGACTAGAGCATGCGTGCAGGCTCCGGGGGCGTCCTGTTAAAGGAAACGCTTTGGAAGCAAATGCCTGCTGTAAAACCTGAATGTTAACGTTACCAGCGGCCGCCAAATTAACTGATGGCAGTGCTTCGTGCCGGCAGGGGAGTGGGGGGTGGGGGGGGGAGCTATAACCTCTTTGGGAAGCAGCGTGGGAATGGCTGAGTAAATATTTGCACAGCTCATGTCACAATTTTCCTGATGGCAGCTTTGGCAACATGCTGTTAGGGGTTTAAAGGGAACAAATTGCCCCTGGGTGGAGAATAAGCTGGACAGGATTATCTGAATCTTCACAGCTTGTCAGGGAAGCCAGGCTGTTAGGTTGATTTCTGTGCTGGAGGCTGGACAGCGGAGGTATAATGATTCTTTGCCCCCCCATTTTCCCCCCCACTTTTTAGGTTATAGGAAGAGCTAGAAAGCCCCACACAAATCGCCTTGAGCACAGCACTTCAAAGATACGCATTTGGGTTTTTTCAGACACCTTGTCAGCAGGGTGTTTGGTTTCCAGCACCGTAATCACGGCAGCGATCGTTATTGCCATCAAAGAGGGCAATTAATACAGGCGCTCCGGTGAGGAGGAAGGCGCCCGGCGGTGCGGGGCCCGGCGGTGCGGGGCTGCTGAGCGCAGGTAGCTGCCGCAGGCGTCGCGAAGGTGCGTGGGCTGCCTCGTAGCACTGCAGCCCGTGTTATACCCTCACAGCTCCTAGCACAGCTTCTCTCCAGCCTCCTTACTCTGCTGAGCGGAGATCAAAGCCGTGAGGATAGGATGTAGACAGCTGGGTAAGTTGCCATTGCCGTGGTGAGAGGAGCAAGGGGCTGACAGGCTATTTCTCCCTTATGACTGAAGCTGTGCTGCGCCACGAGGCGCACATTTGAATCTGCAGTGCTTTGGGGTACTTACACGTAAGAGGTTGCATGGAATGACTCCTTGTTTGCTACACTGCCTCCCCACCCCATCTGGGAAAACAATGTTTGATCCCAATCTCAGTTTTACCAGCTGACTACCATCCTACACAATTCCTTGGTTCAGCAGTCTTCCCAGAGTCCTTGTGACAGATCCATGGAGGTGGTGCTAAAACCCATTCCTTGGGAGGATCTGTTCTCTCCGGGGGTTCTGGTCGGGGCTGGGTACAGTGTTGTTTCTGCGTTATCTGCGTTAGGGCACTAGCAGATCCCTGGGATGGTACAGATGGCCTGCAGAAGTCACTTCAGAAGGCTGCGTGGACTGCTTCGTCTCTCGCAGGATCCTCCAGAACGAACATGCAGCAGCTCCTCAAGCGCTGGTCCCGGCGCAGCCCAGGGCGTCAGTGTCCGGCAGCAGGGCTTCAGCCACGGGCGGAAGACCATGCACCGAGGCTTGGCTGCAGAGTTCCCCACGTCGGCGAAGCACCACACGAACAGGGCTCAGCTACTCCCGTTCGCTGGAGCTACACGTGTGAGCTGGCCGGGTGCTTTCCGGAATGCTCGGTGTGCCCTGCGAGGTGGAGCTGAGCCCCGTGTCCGCACTCGAGCGGCGCTGCCCCCGCCAGGCCGTCCCGCGGAGCCCCGGGCGCTGCCGGGCCCCGCGTTACATAAGCGGCGGAGCGCGGCCGATGCCGCCGGAGCCCTCCAGGGGGAGAGCCCGCTCCTAGGAACGGGAGGGAGGGAGGGGAGGCGGCTCCTCCGAGCGGGCGGAGCGCGGACGGGCCGGACAGCGGCGCCGGGCACGGCGGCGGCGGGAGCGCGCCGGGCGCTCTCTACCCTGGGGCGCGGGCGCTGCCAATGCACAGTTTTTTGCGGGTGCGATCGAATTTTCATTTCCAAAGTTGTTTCTTCACAGTTAAACAGGCCCTGTTCTAGCATAGCAGACTTCAGAGTCCTGGCGGTATTCTGCTGCCCTTGCACAGCGCAGACCGCGAGCCGCGCTCCTGCCGCAGCCCCGCGGCCGACCGGGCTGAGCGCTCCGCTCCAGCTCCCCCTGGGACCCGGCAGTGCTGCCCACGGCAAGGGCCGGCGGTGCCGCCTCTCCTCTGCATCCACGCGCATCCATGAGGGGAAAGCAGCAGATACACCCGGGCCTTCATCCGAGCTGGTCTTCCCTGCCTTCTCCATCCTCCAAGGGACGCCTGTATACCATTCCCTGATCCCACCCAAGGAGTGACCCCAAAATTTCCTTCATCCTCTATGTGTGGTGTCATCTGCCCTTCATTTCTAGCTGTAAAGGAAGCTTTATTAGTAGCTGTTGCTACTGAAGGTGAGAAATGTGTCAAAGCTTTTCTCAAAAACAATGAGGTGACCTTCACTAGGTCCAGTGATGCAGTCATTAGTGTTGTCATTAGAAAATATCTGTACAGTTTGTTTCTCCAAGCTGTGATGAGGAGCCTGGATAGTATTAATTGTGTTTCCATTTTAGACTGCTAGCTGAGCCCCTGAGAATTACCACGGTGTCTGGAAAGACAGATACCTTGCCGTCGCTGCAAGGCATTCTGAACTCAATGGAGCTATTTCTCCAGGAAATTTATACCCATCTGCTCAGTTCAGCAGGAGGTCTTAGACAAGAAGAGACTATTTGTTTCATGAGTCTACTATTTTTCTTTCCAGATATGTAACAAAAATATTATATATCTAAGCATATTTTACTGCAGTGTGGTGTACTTTTTGACAATGAGAATAGGGAATTAAAGTCAATGGCTAGTGAAACTGGTTTTGTCAAAATTACATATAATGAAATATAAACACTTTCAATATTCCACATGATTTAATATTGTGCAGATGCTGTCAAAAGAACATGAATTTCTGAAGACCCCTAACAACCTCTCTCATACCCAACTTCAAGCACTTTCTAAACCCAAGATTAGTAAAGAATGTTTCTATTGAAAGGAACTAAAGAAATTCCCTCTAATGTTTCTGTATTATTATTCTGTGTATCTAAAGCACTTTCTGCAAGTGTTTTAGTTTGATATCAGAATTTTGATTTGTGCCAGTGAGGTTAAGCCAAAAATGAAAGTTCAGAGGTTTGTTTTTGGCTTTTGTTTTCATTGTTTGTTTGTTTGTTTCCCCGACCTAATGCAAATACAACCATGAAGAAAGTCTTCAGTGAGCAGTAAGAAATGTTTATTTCTACTAACCTAGGGTGTTAACAGTAACACCGAAAGAAAAAATGTGTTTGTCTTCTAAAGATACAATGTTTAGTTAGACATTGCTCTTTTACTTTTCTTCTAATTGCTACAAGAATACAAGCTGTCCTGCTTCTGGTCAGGTTCTTCCATGATGTTCCACACTTTGATGCCTGACCTCCCATCTTTACAAATTTAACAACCCTGTTACTTTGTATAGAGTTCCTTTCATAGGGCGTCATTAGCAAATTTGCAAGAGTTGTTTGAAGATCAGTAGAAAGAAGTCTGTGCACCACAATCACCAAGTACAATATTGACCCAGTGTGGTTCATCCTCACCTCTAGACTGAACTGTTTCCTTGAGCCTTTTCCTCCTTGTCTGCCAAGGAATTTCTCCCTTTTAAAAGGAAGTAACTAAAATAGTGCTGTTCAAGATGAGACTCAGGCCAAATGCATCCTCAGATGAAGTGGGAGCTAAATGCAGTAGGAGTTTGAATGATGATGCAAGGCCATCTTCACAGGGGAGTGACATTAAATAAATCTGTGCTTACTGGCATTCTTGGCAAGAGGCTGTATTTTTGAGCCAGTTAGCTATGGATGGAGAGACAACGAATGAACCCACCTGGCTTCACGGTATTTACTGCAAGGATGCTTAAAAATAATGGGGGACTCTGGTAATGAAAAAATGCATGTGAATTAAATCATTCACTCTTTGCCAGGGTAGTGACTATTGTGTTTTAAAGCAAAGCAGTGTTTTCTGTATTTTCAGGAAGTCTTTCCTAACACTTGAAGAATAGAAGAAAAGCAAACAGAAATGTCTTGTTGCAACTCCCCAAAATATTTAACTAACTGCACAAGATATGATACTAACCTTGCATTTACTTTAGTATTGGTGTTTGTCTTTAGATTTTGATGGTGCACTTCACTAGAGAGATTCTGTCTTAAGATAAAACATGGCCTTTTCCCATGCAGTTTATAATCTAATGATGGAAACACAGGGTTCTGGCAGTACAGAATATAGGCATGATATAATAGGCTTGAATATTAAGAAATGCATACAGCAGTAGAGGGGATGCTCCTTTAAAAATCTTGTGCATGTGTGTGTAATTTATTATGACTTGAGAATGTCTGAAAAAGAGCAAGAGAGCTTGAGTTCAGAAAGGATGGAGTAGCGTTGATTCAGAAACTATGCATGTTATGTATAGGCAAAAAAAGTCCCTCCTGACCTCACTTAATGGACCCTTCAGATTATTGCAGTATTTCTGGCTTTCAAGTGACAAAAAATTAGCATGCAAGTAGAATTATTCTTAGGGACAAGTTGAAGTTTAAATAAAATTTAGAACTGCTGCTTTAAAGTATTAGGAAAAAAAGAACAGATAATTCAGCTCTCTTGCCTGCTTTTTTTGTACTGGTTCTCTAAATCTATCCAGTTCCAGCTTACCTTAATATGAACATAAACTAATTCAGAGACTGTAAATGGAGAACCTTTATTATAAAATAAAACTGAGATCAACTGTGTCAACTTCTGTTTGAAGCAGAGAGGCTGCTCTGCTGACAACAGAGCTGTCAGAAGACTACCTAATGCTCCTTGTATCTGACTGTCAATCTGCATATGTCTGATTAGCTCTCAGACAGACCCAGTACATAAGTAAAGCATATTTGTTCCTTCTGAAGATAAACAGTGTTGAGGCTACTCACCAAGTTACCGACTATTTTTGGACAAGAATGGTGTTTCTTGCATTCCCTGCTGTGTTTGTGAGACTTGTTAATAACCATGGTGCCTGCACATGTAAATAGGCACAAATTGCAGTATGTTTATTCCCTCCTGACAAGAGGTAATGAACACATCTGCTCATTCCTGCCACAGAAAGAACCTTAATCCATACTAAAAACTATTTCTAATATAAATTAGTACAGAGCAAAACCACAAGGATGAGTATTTCTCACTGCATGTAACAGCTATATAGAGATATGTCTCTACCAATACACTAATATTTTGTTTGATTGAAAAAAACACATAATTGAAAACTCATACAACTGACCTATGCAATTATATAAGTATGACCACATCCTTCTGAAGAGTCCTCAAGGCAAGAAGACTAAGGGGTTTGTTTAAGTATTTGATTTGCAAATGAACAATAGTATTTGCATCCAGCTATCAGCCTGGGTGTTATTTGTAGTATAACTTCTTCACTACTTTTTGATAATTATTCAGTTAAATGGTAAATGTTTTTGTGAGTTAGAAAAGAATTTTGCTTTCTGGTACAGAGGACCTTTAGTAACAAACCCTTCAGCCAGCAGGCTGCTAAGAAGAATTTGAGAAATCTCTCCCTGCTTCTCTTATGTGTTGAACATACAGGAGTTTTTCTATTATTATTATATTTTCCCTCAAATTTAATGAGTTTCCTGTGCTCTGAAGATCCATTGTCCTGTGAAGCTGATAGAAATGCTGGTATATTTTGGTCCTCTTTCAATGAATAATAACGTTATTCAGTGTTGAACTTTACAAATGGCAGTCACAGTGCACATGCAGCAGATCTCCAGGGCAATCAGATGTGTGTGTGTGCCAGCAGACTGTTCACGTCACCTTGCAAAAAAGGGCTGTTTGAGTCTACTAGATTTTTTTTAACTTCTAGTCTGGATTTATTGGGAAAAATAAAAAGCTTGTTCGGATGTTATAATTAGCCTGCTTAATAACTGCAGACTCCTTACCAGCAGGACAGCTGTAACAAAACGTGAAAATGCCATCATGACTGTTATAAAATCATTTCGTTGCCCCTTGAAGACATTTCTGTTCAGTGCTGTCTGAGCAGTGTGTCTGCTGCCTTCTCTGTGTAGTTAGAGGGTACAAGCTCCTGGAGTTCAGGAGCTTGACATCTTCAGTGTCCAGCACCATGGACTGCTTTTTCTTTTAGCCAAACTGACCCTCTCAACTTTGCTCCAGCTGTAACTTACGGCTACATTATGGAAGTTTGAGCTCAATGTGCAGACTCTGAGCCCGAGGTGGTCCTTCTGGACTCATGCTTCCCACTTGCTGAAGTGGTTTACTTGTTCTGGATTTGAGCCATGGAGAAACCCAAAATGTGGACCTTGTGGATGATGGAGTTAATGTTTGATAGAAGGCTTGAGTTCTGAGCAATCACTGCAACAGAGAAGTAACTGGAGACAGTTTGGTAGCTGGGACATTCTGAAACACCACTGTTGCTTGTGTAGCTTAAGAATGTTGCTCAGCTAATTCAGTGAATCATAGAATCATAGAATGGCTTGGGTTGGAGGGGACATTAAAGATCATCTAATTCCAACTCTCCTGTCATGGGCAGAGATACCTTTCACTCGACCAGGTTGCTCTCAGCCCCATCAAACCTCTCCCTAAACACTTCCATATGTGGGGCACCCACAGCTTCTTTGTGGGTCTCTGGACAGTCTTTGTCAGCATCTTGCCATTCTCACAGGAAAACATTTCTTCCTAATATTTACTCTAAACAAAACCCTCTTTTATCTTAACAACAAGACTTAATGTCTTGTCCTGTAAAAAGTCCCTCTTCAGCCTTCTTGTAAGACCATTTATGTACTGAAAGGTACAATAAGGTGTCCCTAGGCTGAACAACCCCAACTCTCTCAGCTTGTGAAGCTTTTCAAATTATTACCTGTGAGATTATTATCATTACAGTGCTAACACAAATAGCCTACATTCCAAGTTCTGAGCAGCAGAGAAGAAATCTCAGCATGGGGCCGTGTCTGGACCTGATAGAAACTGTGGAGATAAACCCTTGACATTAGAATCAGGGGTTTTTAATGTCTAGTTTTCAATGTGATTGTCATCTCTCTGCCCCATTCTGCATAGCTTGCTTGGCATAACTCTCTGTATGCTCAATTCCCCTCCAGGCACTTGATGAAAAAGCAGACAGCTGAACATTACAGGTAATGTAATAATATGTAATATTACAGGTCCATTATGGGTAATGTAATAACACAACCCTCATAAACTGGCGGTGTTACAGTGCACAGCCTCATAAAGCATGGACAGGCTGTGTTCCAGCTGTGCTTCAGGGGAGGGGGATGCTTGCTGTGCAGCTGTGAAGGGGAATTAGTAACTGCATTCGACCACAGTAGCATCAATCATGAAGAATCAATTCTTGCTCCTCCCCTCAGAGCTGCAAAGTGCCAGGGGCCAGCTGCCCTCAGAGAGAGTTGATAAACACATCTAAGGAAATGTCAGACTGGTTCAGGCAAGCCTAATACTCCTAAACCACTACTGACAGAAGCCTGTATCTCATCCAGCCCTCAGTGGTGCTGCTGTAACAGCTAAAAACCTCTGATCCAGCATGTCTTTTATCCATTCTTCCATTCTGCCCTGGGCTTTCCACACATCCTTGCTCTCTTGGCTTCTTGCTGCTTTGACCCTTCATTTGCATTTATCTCTTACTGTTCTAATCTGCTATTTAAAAGCCAGTCTTTAATTTGTACCTCTTGTTTGCTTTATCCCACCACAAAAGCCATTAGATATGCTTTTTCAACACACTCTCACAGACAAGTATGATTTTTTTAAGGGTCCCCCAAAAGTAGATAGATTTTCCTGTGATGATTTTTCAGTTTCCTTTTTCCTTCAAGACATTTATATTCAACTATTTCAGCATTTTCAATGCCATTTAATATTCAGTTTGGCTTTTGTGCTTCCTCAGGGTTCCAATTTCCTTTTGGCTAAGAAAAAGAAACTAGGTGAAGATGTAATGCAGCTGGACAATTAGCCACTAAAAATAGTTTGCTAAAGGTCTGGGCAATACACAGAAAACTATAAATATCAGATTTGCAGATGATGTGGATTCAGGCTGAGTGGTGTGCTTAATCCTCAGTGCTCTGCTGAACGATTCACTAAGGCTGCAGTTTAATAAACATTTCTAAAGCAGATATAGTCTCCTGCTATCTGTAATCCCCAAACTTTCAGTTGCCCACCACAGCCTACAGAATTTAAATTAGAAATAAAATTGTAAAACAAGATTATTTTCTCAATTGTTTTGTCTCATAAAAATTATGTAATATTTTCTTAACTCAAAACTCTGTCAGCATCAGTTATGTAATAGTAGTTGAATTAGAGTTTAGTAAAATTAAAGCCCAGTGGAACTTAGTAACTAGGATTAGAGATCTGTTTTGTTTGGCCGTGCCTCTTGGTTCATTTCACTCAAAGGAAGGCCATGACAATTCACGTAGACTTTGTGCTCTGTGGCAGCATGCTCAATCAGCATTTTACTCACACAGGACATCATCCTGAGGAAAGGCTGCCTAGATGCTAAGTAAGGGCTTCAGCATTTAGCTCACAGCGGTGACAAGTCCATCAGTGCATATGTAAATAGTGTAAGGATAGAACTGCACTGACACACATGTCAGTGAAGTGCAAGGCTAAGAGCAGGAACAAGACTAAGAGCAGGAAGTACACTGCAGTTCTACTGTAGTTCTACACAAGCTTGATCTTTAAGGGTAAGTTAAGAGTTAACTGCTTTTTAGCTTGTGACATCAGAGTGGAAGGTGAAAAATTTCAGTACTACAGAGTCTTCATCTTTAGCTATCACATGCCCTGAATTTCTGATATGTGGTTTTGTCAAAGCTGCAGATGACTTCTAAAATTATTGTATTTCTAAAGATCTCAAATAAAAATAATTTAATTAGTGAAACTGTTGGTTGGGTTTTTTTTTAAGCAAGGTTATTTTATGTTTCTTAATTAATTCATTCCTGCTTCTCTTAATATTGCATCTCAACTTCCTCTAATGTTTAGGTGTGCCCAAAAAAAAAGCCACCCAAATATCCCTTAGAACATTTATTTGCCTCCATTTTCTGATCCTACAATGTGAAATCATGTTTTCTAATGCTAACCAAGAGATTTTGTCCTGAAAGAAGCATGAAGTTTCTGATACATCAGAATTAACACCAAAGAATTTTGTGATAGGAAAGAGTGATAGTAAGAAAAGAGGGAAAACAAAACCTTGCAGTATGTTTGCTCAAACCAGGTTTTTTTCCCTGAGTCTTCCAAAGCCCCATAACAATACAAGATACCTCCTAATGCAAAGATCAGACCTATTATCTTGATAAGGCTTACCTGTTGAAAAATTACTGAAGGATCTAATTACAGTGATTGCAATCTGCATTCTAGATTATCTGTCACAATAAAATTATTATCAGTTAATCTTTAAAAAGTCAGTCAACTAATTAGTTCAGGAGAACTATTCAAAACACTGTCCTTGAGGTTATTAGAATTAAATTCCTAATATACATAGCCTGCATTTCGAACTTAAATTCTAGAGTAGCTTGCTCCACTCAAATTGGCAAATGCCAGGACCTTGCAGTATTGTAAAGAGTAGACCAGAGCCCTCTTGCCCTGAAGTTGGTGAAAGAGTTCATTGTAATTTTTGCCAGTCACAGGAGGAAACTGAGGTTGAGTGGACAAAGAGAAAGTGCTAGAGAGCAATGACTGATGAATCTATTACATCCAGACATCAGACACACATTCACACTAATACATTTCTGAGCTGCATGTCTTCCCTAATGAGGTCTCAGCGGTGGTGTCATCAATAGTGAGCTCTGCAGTGCCTCAGGGGCTGCATCTCTCTATTGCCTTGACATTCAGTCAGTACATAGCACAGTGCAAAAAAGTTACCTGTCACCTTTTTCAGCTTAGTCTGCGGTACAAGCACTCACAAGCTGTTTTTACATTAGCACTTCTGTCATTGCTATCAACAAATGAAGAAGAACACACCAGAGAAGATTTCTTCAAATTCTAGAAGTTCACAGAAGCAGAGGCTTATTTTTCCCTTTCTCCCGACCTTTTGACTGCTTTCTAATACCTTTCTGCTGAGCTACTGCCTCTTCTGGTGCAGTTCCATTCTAAGAACCACTTTGGCTGGACAATAACCTGGTATAGAAATTTTAGACTCCTGTCATTATTATTCTTCCCCTCTGAGCCCCACAGAACCAATTATATTTTATGTAAAGTTGCTTTGGTAACACAGGTGATACTGCTTTGATGAGGGATGCAGAAGCATGTTTGGTACAACATCTTGTTGTTGACTCAAACATAGTGAATATTGACTGTAGTTTGGACCCATGATGAAGATTCCTCCTTTCCTTGTTTTTCACCCTCATCAAGCTGAGGGGAGGAATCTAAGCCAAAGATGTCAGAATACTTATGTTCTGTCATTGGAACTTGGAATCTTAGAATCATAGAATATGCTGAGTTGGAAGAGACCCATCAGGGCCATCAAGTCTAACTCCTTGCCCTGCACAGGACACCCTGAGTCACACCATGTGCCTGAGAGCATTGTCCAAATGCTTCTTGGACTCTGTCAGTCTGGTGCTGTGACCCCTTCCCTGGGGATCCTGTTCCAGTGCCCAACCATGCTCTGAGTGAAACACTTTTTCCTGATATCCAACCTCAACTTCCCCCAGCTCAGTTTCATGCTGCTTCCTTGGGTCCTTCACTGGTCCCCACCACAGAGATCAGTGTCGGCTCCTCGTTTTCCCCTCATGAGGAAGTTCTAGACTGCACTGGGGTCTCCTCCTCTTCTCCAGGCTGAATAGGCCAAGTGACCTCAACTGCTCTTCACATGGCTTCACCATCCTCATGGCCCTCCTTTGGATGCTCTCTAATAACTTAATGTCTTTCTTATATTGTGGTGTCCAAAACTGCCCACAGGACTCGAGGAAAGTATCTGCCATTACACTGTTGTCTTAACTCGTTGTTAATTACAGGCACACTTCCTTTGTGTTGTTTAGGATGAAATCTTGTCCCTTTTTTGGAATGTCCCCTGTAGACAAGCCCCTAAGTGACTCTTGCTAATAACCTAATTTCTGTGACTTCACAAAAGCCCTAAGCAGAACCTGTAAATCAGTTTCTACTTGAAGTTAGAACCAATAAGGTAAGTTATAATTTAAAACCCTCACGAGGGAGAGATGACTCTTGCATAGTCTAGTAGCTGTCCCTGACCTTGCTTATTGAAAGAAAATTACCCATATGAAAGCTGAGAGAAGAGGAAGCATTTTAGTCACAGAATATTTATTATTAAAGATGTAGTTTTACTTCATGGTAAGAATAGAACTTACAATTTGATCTCTTGTTTTTAAAGAGGAGAAAAGAAACAGTCTTAACTGCTTTTATTGTTAAAATACTATTATTGTATAACAATAAAAAAGCTTAGAAAAGTCTAAGAAAAATACATAAAAATATAGTGAACTGTATCCAGATGTAATACAGGGCTTAGGCACATGTGAGCCAATCCAATGTGATCCAATTAACTATGGCAGCCTGTCAGCTGAAGTTACTATAGGGGACTGCATGTATGCCTCAATTGCTCAGATAATTGCTCAGTTCATGTATGTCAGTTGATAAAGATCACTAACCTAGGAATATAATAAGTAACTTACTGATATTCTGTGTAAACAAATGTACATCTCTTTGTAAACAAATATACATGTGCAAAATAATGCATGTTGTGTGTTCAAAAAATCTCTTCAATTTTACCAAGCTATCTATTTTATTGTACTTTCATATATATCAAAATTTTGGACTTGTAGTTAATGACCTGAAAGTATCAACTCACTGTGGATTTGTATAAATATATTATTGTACAATTGGTGAATATTTTGATAAAATTGCAGCTATTTCAAATTCTAAACTGCAAAGACCAGCTGGGTGAACTTACATCAGCATGTGCCTCTGCCATCTGGGACTAAGTGTTACCAGGCATTCATCACAGGGCTGGTACAACCAGATTGAATTTGTTTGCTGCACTTCAAGGACATGAGGCAGGTATTTGTCTCCTTCCTTTCTATTGATGTGTCAAAAAAGATGCTTTTGAAATAGGCATTTTTTTCCACCTGCCAGAGTAATAGGATCTTCAGGCCAAAGGGTACCAAGAAAGAGAAACTCAAGCACAGCCAGATGCCACGGGGATGTAGCACAATACCAATCACTATTTCCTAGGAACAGTTTGGTTTACTGATGGGATAAAACTGCTAATTGCATTGACAGTCACTGACAATCAGGGTCACTGGAAGACAGTTGTGGCTGCTTCACTCTGCCCTGACAGCACCAGAGAACTGGCTTAGTGGCTGCTCTCTGCAGAGTTGTCATTGCTTCCAGATGAATCCTCTGCTTCCAGCTTTCCTAGCTTGTCCACTGATAAGCACAGATAAGGTCTGGCACACTTCCTCTGCACAGGGCTGCTCTTGCTGCTGGCAGGAAATTGGCCCTTCCCATTACAGGTGTGCTGAGAACAAGAAGGATTTCAGTATTTCGAACTGGAATTGAGAATATTATTGACTATTCTTGAAGCAGGTATTTTCCACAGCTGGTGGGGTTATTTTATGGTGATATAATAAAAGCCAAATTCCCTGTGTTTGTTTGTGGAGGAGGTTGTCTGAGACTGCCACAACTTCAATAAACTGAACATCCATTTTCTCTATCTTCTTCCACCTAAAAAGGCAAATTATTCTGAAAAGCCAAGTTATTCACTTGGAAAGAAATTAGCTTGGTTTATCCCTCTTCATTCTGATAAATACAAGCTGGCTGTTTCTTACCATGTTTATGTCCCTAGATGTTTATGCACCGATTTTTTCACATTTTGTTGTGATATCATTCCAGGTATTAAACTTGGACTGACTAACCTACAATTTTCCATTTTTCTTTTTCCTTTTCCGTGGGACAGCACTATAGTCATTCTGATGAGTCCTCTGTGTGTCCTCAAAGTAGTTCAAATTGTTTCAATTATTTCTTAATCTTCCAAGGTGGATTTCAGCAGGGTCTATTATCATACATGTCACAACTAAATATCTGCTATTTGTTCTCTCCTAATTCTAGCTGGTGTTCCCCACCACTGAAATGTGTTAAGAATCTGATCACAAATACTCTTTTTGTGAAGGCTCAGGCACTGAACACTTTGTTCTTTTACATTGCTTCATAAATTTTCACTATTCCTGCTTAAGACCAGTGAAATATTCTCAGTCTTTTTTTCCTGACTGTATTTATAAAAGCTTTTCTCACTCTCTTTTGTGTCCTTTGCTGGTTACATCTCATTTTATGCCTCAGATTTTCTGATGCTATCTGCAAATCACTTTATGTTCAGTGAGCATTTGTGTTTCCATTTTTGAACAGTTAATTTCTGATTTTGAGGTCATTAGTACGCTATTGATGTTCTTGATATAGAGCATTTACAATATATCTTATCTCTCCTCTGCAGAGGAATAACCTGTGATTCTTTCAATATAGAACTGCTATCTTCTATTACAAAACTGGCAAAAGAGTACTTCAACATTGTGTGAACCCTTGTCTTTAATTTTGTTTTATAAACCCAAAATTGTAGCAAATCTATCCAGTTTCAGAAGAACCTGGATTTTAATAGATTTCAGACAAGACTAAAATAAGATTTCATCAAACTTTTTGCAGCCAACTGCTATTTTAATATTAGTGCTTCAAAAATGTACAACATCTGCAGGAACAGGGGAAAGAGGAAATAAAAACAGTCTGAATATATCTAACATGACCAGAACATCAGATAATGCTCCATTACAACAATGCTATTGAAGACTTACTGACAATAGATATCTGGCAGAGAAAGCCCTTCTTGCCTTCTGCAGGATAAAATTGCATGTGGGAGATCCATATCAAGGAACAGTCGTTCTG